GAAGATGCAATAGAACAATACAATAACTTTAATTAAAAAAAGAAAATAAAATAACTTTAACAAGATGATTTTTAAAAATTATTTTTAAAGTTTATACAGGTGGAAGAAATTTTGATAAATTTTCACTGTGGTATGCTAAGGATCTTAATATCGTTTCACGCTACGTATGTATAAAACGTTAAAAAGAAATTATCTCCTACATATTTTTTGATGCCCACTACCTTTAAAAGTTACTAATTGTTAAGGCCAGAAGCCATCATGCTACTCCATCAGCTTACAACACACTGTGCTCAGTGCAGGGCAGTGCCTTCAGACTGGTGATTACATTACAAATCTATACTGCTCCAATCCCAGTTGTATTCTCCAAAATTTCAAAAGATAACTATTATAACTATATTTGTTGGAAACACAAGGTCAACGATAGCTGATCTGCTAGCCCACAAGCTGATTTTGAAGTTGTGCTATACAATTTTCTAGGCTGTATAAAGCAAAGACTGAGTAACTATATATATGCACATTCAAAAAAGCCCGTAAGGACAATCACCCAAATAATCCATTGCCTTCAAACAAAATGCTTCATGTTATTTTGAATGCTACCCAGCAAAATACAAAATTTACTACTTATTCATATTTTCCATTTAAACATTAACATACCAAAATCAACTTACCAAATAATAGGTTATGGCTAAAGTATGCTTAATATCATCACTGTGGTTTAAGTGATGTCTAAGTATCAGAGTTTCCTAGATAACAGTATGTCAGAATGCAAACATGCTTAGGTAACAGTAGGTCAGAATACAAACATGCTTAGAATAGAGCCAATAAGAAAAATATCAACTGTAGGGAAATAAACTTCCTTAGACTGTTTTTTAATGAGGAAAGAAATTGAAAAGTTAATGTATCTTTAGACTATGAAAAAAGCTTCAATAATGTAAGACAAACTGTCTATAAGAACTAGTACAATACCTAGTGTTACTTATTTTGTAACAAGTTTATTTTCTTCTGTTCCTGGGTTCAGCGAAGCACTTATTCACCTACAAATTATTTGGTAGTGGACCCTGGATCTATTCTGTCTGAAACATTAAAGCAACATGCTAAATATTTACACTTACTCTTTTTCACAAAACCATGAAGGGAAATTGTGTCTTACAGTTTTAACACACAACCCGTATCTTTAACTTAAATAAGTAGTAGCTGTGGCTTTCACTGCCAAAGATGTGGGGAGCAGGTTAGAAGACTGATGAAGTGTCAATAAAACACTTATTTTGATTTTTGTTTTTAAGGCAATTTAATTATTCATAAAATTGGAAATAACTTTTTGAAAAGCTTGGCTTCTGAAGTACACATTGGAACCATAGTACTGTTAATGAATACTCAAAGTATGGTATGGAATGGAATAACAGGGAAGTAAAATCACCTGATGTAGAATACCATAAAATTAGGGAGCAGCAAGAGACATGGATGCCTTCTGGATTAATATTAAATGACAGCATGGAAAGCACAAGGTTATGGCTGAAAAATTGTGCTACAGGTCTTTTTAATGGGCATATCTTTCAAAAACATTTAAAAGATTTCATTCCATCATAAAAGGAATAAAAATTTAAATTACTCATTACTTTTTTTTGGCTAGCATTTTCCTCTTCTAAAAATATTTGTAGAAGAAGTAATAAAGGCAGATCCCACTACATTAAGGGTGGATTCCTGAGAAGTGAGATTGTTAGCAATTTGTCAGATAAAGTAATATTTCCTCATCAGAATAAGCATAACAGATGCATGTAATGACTTAGAAAATACACATATTTAAACACACACAGGCAAAGTATGAAGGATGGAGCAGGCGGGATAGCAAGGAAGGAGAAAATTACCAGGATTGTCACTGAAGTGCTACTTTTAATACCTGACAATCACCTCATTTTTATACCTTTCATTGTGACTGATTCATCTGAGGATGAAAATGGTGAAAATGTAACTGCTCAGAAAAGAGGCAGAAGACAACTGTCACAGAAGATTTATATCAGGCCTTCAGATTCCTAGAAGCGCCTGAGATCTTCTGAAGCAGTGATCCCACCTTAAATGCGTGCATCTGCTTCAGTGGATGATCCTACTCCTGCCTTTTATCTCCCATACTATATGTACTGTCCCTGCGTATTTAAATTGTCGGCGTGCATCCACCTGCTATAACATTAATTCTTACAGGAAAAACTGCTTTACTGCTAAACACAGGCACTTCATCTATTACACTAGTGAAGGCTAGAAAGCAGAGTAATGCTTAGCAAAGCAACTTTGAAATTACAAATAAAGCAAAAACACATATCAGAGTACTCCTGGCTTAGAAATGTATACGTTAGAGAAGCTGACAAATAAAATTTTAAAGCAAGAATCAATTTAATATAGGGTAAAAACCAGTGAAAGAAACCCGCTTGGACAAGGTGGTTTCAGTGCACAGTTGATGAAAGAAAGCTCATGAGTTTTCATAGGAAACAATATATGCAAAGAGCAACGAGCAACACCCAGCCCAAGTGCGTGCCCTTTCCTCAGTTTATAGTACAGCTACACATTTTCTGTGCGCTCTGATATCAAAGCCCACTGCTGGGCTCTGGAGTCTGCCAGAACAGCAGCAGCAACTCCATCGGTAACTCTCAGATTGGTGTTTTCTCTCCTCTGCACCTCCTACAGTTCTGATTAATCATAAGGAAAGACTGACTAGCTACAACAAACAAAATAAAAGAAAAAACTAGTATTTCACAGTCCCAGTATTTATGAACTGACTTAATATATGTCTTTTTAACTTTTCCAATGTTTTGAAGAGCAAAGAAGCAAACCTATTATTGATGCAAAAGCAAAACTGAAATTAATCAATGCTTTAATTACAGTTCATTTGAAAACCTAGGAAATAAATTTTGGGTCATGAATAACATAACGGTTTCCAAACTTTTCCTCTGCTGGAGACCATTTTTCTTCCACCTCCACTCCCCCACAAACTTTAGCAACTACAAATACACTACACTTCAGATCAGTGTTTCTGTCCAATGAAGTACATAAGAAGCTAAAAATCCTCTGAAAATGAGTAAGTTTCAGATAAGAAAAATAAATTCAAAGCAATGAAATGAGTCCATGGCAGGAAAAAAAATTTACCTAGGTCCTGCCCTTGACCTCTATTCTTGATTTTTATACATAAATCTACTTTAGCCTCTTCCCCAAAAGAAAAAGAAGAATTGTGCTACTACTGGTATTTTGGACTGAAATAGAAGAGCATGATGAAGCATACAGTCTTTCTACACTTAAGTTACTATGTTGCTCTAAATTAATATTTTGCATATATTAATAATTTCCCATGACTAGAGTAGTAAAATTTGTAAACTATTTCCATTCACATCTTTTAATAATACCTGAAATTTCTGTGGAGATTTTTTTTCTTTCCTTACTTCTTTACTGGATGTAAGCAGAGTTTTAGTAATGAGGTGAGATTTCATGAATTACATTGCAAACTACGAGAGCAAGAGAAAATAGCACTTTTCCATTCTATTTTCATTCTGTTCATCAAACTTTGTAGTTACATTCAGAGCAGGCTTTTCCACCATCACTTCAGTTTTGGCAGTGATTACACGTGCTCTCTCATTATTAAAACTCTAACCTACTCGATTACGTGTCCTAGCTGAAAAGTATTGTGAAGACAGGAAGAAATTTTAAATGATAATTTGGTGTATGTAAGTAATTTCAATTATTAAAAGTCCCTGTTGAAAAGTTTTTTATTTTGTAAAACCAAATTTTAGGCAGATGGTGTTACAAAGTAATTTTGATAAAGTACCAGTGATATTGCTTTTACTCATTGATACTGGTTTGTTATTTATTGGTTACCACAGCACTGTGACTGTAGGCATCAATACGTATGCATATATGTCTTCTAATAAAGAAGATTGTTATCCAGGACTTCATTATAGATTATTGCAGTGGTCCTCTTTATTATTATTTACATATAAATTTTTTTTTTCTTGTCATCTGAGGAGTCTTCTCTAGTCTTAGCATAAAAAATGTAAAATACAGCAAAGTTAGGACTGGGAAAATGTAACTCATATGAATCAATAATTACTATAAGTTACATTTATAAATGTTCATATTGCCAATACAACCAACTCTTATTCTGTCTCTTGGACCAGGCAGGAGGAGGAAGGGTAATTACATGGAATTTTATGTAAGAATAGATATAAAAGTGTATCAATATTTGGGAGAAAATGATATTTCACTGACACAAGTAGCATTTGCCTGAAATAAATGTGACAAGAAGTATCTGCTAAAACAGAAAAGTCTCCATCTACACAATACTATTTATGAGGCTAAAAAAGCAAATTTTATTCATTTCTGTGAACGTTCAAATGTTTAACCTAGCAATGTCATATACTCATTTGTTTTTAAAAAAGGAAAAGATCAGCCATTAACAGGAACCTACAGCTTTATTAACTTTTTTTTTTAATAAGAAAGAAGCCAAGTATTATTTTGACATATTTGCAACAATGTTACGGCACTTCAAATTTATGTAGAATTTACCATTTACAGTCCAGACCTTCAACTTTTCAAAGATGGCTATTATCAAAGAATGCCAGATCCACAATTATGAATGTTAGGTTCTCGCAAACACATACACACAACAGCTGATTTATAATCCTGAAAGGGTAGGGGCACAACCCACTAAGGCTCTCAAGCTTGAAATCAGAGAAGATTTTATACAAAGGTTACGTGGAAGTGGGGCACCGCAGTAAGTCTAAATGAGAGAAACCGAAAAAGCTTAATGAGCCCATTGCTTAAGATATTTCAGATGTATTAGTGTTCTAATCACTTTGAATTGAAAGTCACGTTTTGGAACATAACCAGTGTAATTACAGACTCAGTAATAATCAGCTGCTTTACTAATACTTTTACAAGGTGTTTGAAGAAAAGACCAGCGTACTTATGAAGAAGTGTGAATAAACACACAGAACAGTATTTTAAAATACTAAGCATACCTGTGTTCGCAGAATTTCACCTTTTGACAGTTGCATATCACCAGTCAACTCTTTCACAGTAATGCCCAGTGGTTCCAGACGCTTGCTGAAGTAATTTGTCATTTCAGCTGCCAAAGCCTTCATAGGAGCAACATACACAATCTGCACCAAAAGGACATTCACTTGATAAATGAGCAAACCCCACAATGTTGTTTGTTTCATGGCAACCATTGCAAATCACAATTTATTGTGAAATATGATACCAGGCGCTTACAGTGAAAAATCTTAATAGTGATATATGAAAAGTAGTTATCTTTGTTGGATAAGTGTGCAGCTGTTTAAAGGACAATGGATTTTGTTTACACAGCCTCATCACTTTGAAAATTGGTTCTGCATCAAAGCCAAATGCATTTTCATAGCTTTTTACTCGCATAATAAGATTTTTAGAACATAAATAAGAATAGCTTTAACAATAATGAAGTAAATCAAAACTGGCCTTATCTTTGACTTGGAAAAGTGTAATACCCTTGAAAACTTCCTGGTTTCATATCCCATGTATAACATATAATGGGTTTTACCTTACAAGCTGAAAAGCTGTTACGTGGTTCATTAAACTCCTACCTTAAACTCATCCTTTTTGATAACACCGTGCTGGACATGCTGGCGAATTTCATGAAGGACTGTCAGCATGGCAATGTTAGTCTTCCCAGCTCCAGTGGGGGCACAGATTAGCATGTTCTCATTTGTGTTGTAGGCAGTTTCAAAAACTATAGACTGGATTCGGTTTAGTCTTTTCATGCCTTTGAAAGCAAGTTGTCCAATCTGTTAAAACAAACAACACGTATATTTTGGATCTATATATGTGTGTGAGTGTTTGTGTGTGTCTATAAATATATTAATCATAAGAAAAAGGACATCTGGTAAAAAAAAAAAACTTAGGATACCTGTTTAAATATATTTGTTATTCCAAGGTTTTTATTCTGAGGCTACCACTCCCATCCAACCCTCAAACCCTAAATCCATAAGGAAAACAAAATATAGCAGGATAACATCTGTTAAAATTAATCAAAACCTTTAGCCACATGTTATTTCAGCATTTAATTTGTTTTTAATCGAGTGTGACCAAAACTAATACACAGTGAAATAACGACCTACTAATAAGTAAACATCAGGAAAACAGCAATAGTCAGATTAGATGAATATGCATCTTTAAATCTAAGACGACAAACTACAACTCTAATGGAAGAAGCAGCAGCAATACACAGGAACCTGCTGAAGAAACATAAGATTAAAAAAAAATATTTATGATTAATTTTGCACAATAAAGTTTAATTATGCAAACACGCACACACATTTTCACTAACAGCCTTCTCTTTCCTTCAGAGTTAATCTCCATCTTGCAGTTAATTTTCAGATCTTTCTTCAACAATGCTCCCAACAAACTGCAGCCTCCAAAAGTAACATAAAACTTGTATGTGTAGCCTCAAATAATCTTTGTGAAGGTTTTAAAAAATTAAATTATATAGTTAATACAGGCAATTATAGTTATTATAGTTTAATGCATGTTTAAGTCTTATAAAGTACAAATGATCAAGTAGAAAATACTTTTTTCCTCTTGGTTTCTCTGAAAAATTAGATTTTCACTAAGAAAGAACTGCTGTAGAAAGTTACAATTTCTGTATTTGAAGATTCTGAAACTTTTGCAACTGAGTAACAGACCCTTAAAATATAAAATTAGTCTTCTAATAAACTTGCTTGTTCTTACTTTTCACAGACACTTAAAAGAGATTGCAGAACACAGAATTATTTCCTTTCTACAAATTTAATTACCTGCACTGCTTCTACTAATAATCATGAAAAGTATCTTACTGATATTTTTGATGATTATAATTTTTATTTTAATTGTAGGAAACCACAACAGTACAAATTCACTATAAAGAACAGTCCTGAAAGCACCTTCTGAAGATCTCCATTTCTATTATTCTGGGGGCTTCAGTTAATTTACAGTCATTTTCTGTGGTAATAGCCTCTCCAATACTAGTGACATTCTTTCTAATTCTTTCCAATACTAAGCAAATTATTTGAGCAGGACTCAATTTATTACTAACCCAAGTAATGCCAGCTCAGGAATGAGGGCTTCTTTGGTTATTCAAATCAACTATTTTAATTAACTCTGCAACAAACAGCATTGAGTATTATTTTTCCTGAAGCTTCTTCGTAGTAACCTCATGTGAGAGCCTGAAATGCAAATTACAAATTTAGGGTAATACACCATTTTCACAATACATGACAATGCTCTACCCTTAAATGTAGAGGAATGGCATACCTAATGACTGGCTAACTGTAGTTTTATTCTAGAGGACTTTATGTATTGAAAAACAACATTCGTTGATATAAAAGCCAATGAAAATACTATGTAATCAATACACTATTTCCTTCTGAAAAATGTGCTTTTCAGTTTAGCAGTACCTTTGTCTTTGGAAAGCTTTCAGGTTGGAAACTTCTTGTGCAACACTGAAAAAACAAGTTCCATTCAAATAATGTATTGCATTTGTATTTGTAGGATTGACACGTCTCAAATATATATTCAAATATGTTCTAAACTGTTAAGTGTCTTTGGTGAAGAAAAAAAATAAATGGATCTAGTGCAAGTACTTCCAGTGCTTTTCATCAAGTTTCTTCAATTTTTTAAGTGGCTGAATTTCAGGATTACAACAGTTTTCACTATTAATATTCTTTCACAGTTTATTCTGCATGCAAAAGTGCAGGGGGAAATCTTATTTGTTTTGCACCAAGTTTTGTATACCTAATGTTTACGTGGTGTATTGTCTTCAAAATTAATTTAATCTCCATGAATGAGATTATTAGAAAGTGTTAATGGATTTCCTAGGGGTTCAATCAACCATTGTTATGGCCTCCTTAGTCATTTTAGGTTTCTAATTTGCCTATCGCTCCATTTTGAGATTTCTTGACAAGTCTTTGAAAATGGTCTATCTTCTCTTTTACCTTCCATTCTATCTAATTGGGTTTAGAAGCTATTACAAACACTGTAAAGTTCACACCGATAAACAATACTTACAGTGTTTATAACAAAAGATCGATGGACAGAAACTCACAAACACAACCGGTGATTACAGAATTGAACAAACAAAACACTACACTACACAATATATATATTATTTAAAGAAGCAGTTTTTAAACAAAAGCAGAAACATACTTGTCTAAATAAAGTCTGGTGTAAGCATATTCAGAAAAGACTAACAGGAATTTTTCACAGCCACACAGCTGAAAATGTTTGGCTTTACACATACAGGTTTTCTTATAGCTGTGTGATTGTTAATAACCTTAAATAAAGTATGTCTTTAAGTGTTTTCTTAAACTACTGCCCGTAGGAATATATTGCCCCAGTTTCTCCTAATCTTTAAATGGGCAGTGTAAGACATGCTAAATTTGGAAGAAATTAAATATACTATAGCCCCAAGACATGGAACTGTTATCAAAAATAAACAAATATTTAGATAAATAAAAATAATTTCCTATCTTTTTTCCTGTTGGAAAGTAGTAACACCATGGATTAAGGCTGACTTGGTAAGGCACCAGAGAAAGCTGTGTAACGCGTTAGAAAAATGAACCTCAGCTTGTTTTCTGGAAAGATGCTAAGCCTACTGAAACATGAATATTAAGAGTGGAATAAAGATTGATAAAAAATAAAACCTTAAAAGTCTGGTTAAGAACTAGAAGTATTTTTTTTTAAAAATAATGGTATTCTGACCAGAATCTAGACTTTCATTCAACACAGTAATCAATTTTCAAGCAACTCAAAAGAAAAATGCAGGCACTGACAAATCACAATCACAATACACAGTCAATGTGTAATGTTCTTTGACAGGTGACTCTGCAGGAACATCTTAAGTTTCTTAAGATATCTTAAGACTTCAAAACAACTTCCCATTTGATTCAAAGAATATTACAGGTTATCCTTCCCCAAAACTTCATTTTATTCCAAACAAGTGGAAATACATATGCATAATCCAAAACCAGTAGTTCTGCCCTTAAAAATCAGTAAGAAAAAAAATGGACAGCAGACAGAAATTCAACAGTGTGCACAGAAGTCCACAGTTTGACAAACGTACTAGAAGATTTGCTTTTTTAATTTGGCATTTGCACAGACTACCTAGTTTCAAAGCTGAAAACAATTTTCTTCCCTCTGGCATATGAACATCAGTCAAGAATTCCACAGACCAAAAGTTTTTCAGACAAACTAGTGAAATCCCTTCTTGCTTAAGGGACTGGTAGCCACTGGATGGCAGAATCTGTTTTTTATTGAAGGTGAATGAGATGCAACGTTCTTCAGCCTTCTACTCCACAACTGATTTATCCCTAGAATTCTACACAAACCAAACGAAGTTTAAGCAGAATACAGTCTGAGTGCCATTCTCAACAAACACAGTTTCATGCCTAAAATGGTGTCATTTTTACATAAGCATGAATCAATGTGAAAGACCACTGAGAAGCAACTCTTTGCACAAACCAGATGATATTCAAGGCATCTCTGATGTGAATGTATAAAACATTTATATTTACTTCAGTAAGCTTTCCAATTCTTTCCCAAGGAATTTACTAGTACAACTAACGCATTTACAAGTATATGAGATTACAGTTAATTAAGGTATTCTAAATTAGTCATTTCATTAAAAAGGTATTTGTGTGTTGGTACTCTAACAGCAATTTAAAAATAGGATAAAACTGTTAAAGCCATTAAAGTAATATTTATGAATGAGTCCATACAATTCAGTCTGCAGGCAAGCAACAGCTTAAACACAACTGCTTTAGCAACACGGTAGTAACAGCATCTGCTCTAAATAGCACAGGCCATCAGCACTTTAGACTGAGTTTTACTCATGCAATTCGTTAGCCAGACCTTGTAGTTCTCCAGAGTTTAATAAATATGAAGCAGAAGACACTTTTTTTCCCAAGGCACATCTGTGAAACCTGCTGTGGTCTATCTGTGGTCTATAGCACTCTCCCTCACCGAGAACAAAAGGGTGCTAACTGCAAGTTCCATTAAAAGCTGAGATCTTTCACTCACTGTGTCACTTTATGCATTAACACTAGGTGACAGAAACAGCTTGTCAGATGCAATTAACCCCAGTATCACAAATTTTCACTTGGTGGCCCAATGTGCTCTTAAGTCAACTTCAGTGTAGAATGCCAGCATTTTAGTAGCAACTTCTAAATTCAGTATTGGCATGCATAGACATAGCATAAGATGTCTTACCTAATCTATCCAGAGCAACACTAGAAAAAAAATATAACTGTATTTAATTCTTAGCAATTTATCCAGGAAGTAGTTTGGGTGTTATCTCCCTTAGAATTATAATATTTTATTGATTTACATACAGGACATTTTCTTTATATTCCTCATTGTAAAAGAGATTTTTGTCTTGTCCGCATTCATTTTTTCAGTTTTCACGTAATACTAGACAAATTTTCTCATGGTCTGAAATAAAGAAATGTTAGTCATCTGTACTAATTTCCATCGCATAAAACCACCTAAATAAATGTTCTATAATTACGACTTCTTCTGTTGTACAATAACAAAATAATATTACTACTCATGTATCATAAAGATAATCCATTACGCTCATAAACCAAGTTTAAACTTTCAGCGTTTTCCCTATTCATTGGCTTAATTTTACAGTAGATATATTTTAATCAAAGTACCTTACATAATTCAGGTGCAACAAATCCCATTCTGCAGTCAGTTGTTCTACTGCACTTTCAATTAAAAAGATAATAGATCTAACTGGTAATATCACGAC